GGTCCAAAGAGTGGCCTCAAAAGGGCCTAGAAAAGGAATTGTAACATAAGAGAGAAAACAAGATAACTTTTTATTACCAGGTATTAGGGTATTCTAGAAGCAATAGAAGAATATAAGGTAACATTTCTAGGTATCATGTATGTCCAATATTTTATATATGTCATTTTGTATAATTCTCACAAGTTTGCAATAAAACCATTGGTATCCCATTTTACAGATAAATATGCTAGCTTAACTAATTTAATAGTTTGTCCACATCCCTTCTCTAGAATTCGGATCTCCAGATGGAAGCCCTCTCTCCTTCCTCCATCCTGAGCCGCCATGTTGTCCAGCAGTGATGCAGTACCGTGAAGAATAGCTAAGTAGGACCAATGGAATAACAGGAGAAGGAGGCTGCTTTTTAGGTAAGGTGGTCAGAGAAGGCTTCTCCAAGGAGGTGCCGTTTGAGTAGAGGCTTGGATGAAGTAATGCAGCAAGATGTGCAGAAACTTGAGGGCAGTGCAGAGCAGCAAGGATAAAACCCCTGGGGAGAATCCTTGGAAATGCTCAGACAGGAGCCAGAGTGGTGGCATTCTATCAAATAATTTTCTCTTAATTTACTTTCTATAACCGTGTGTTCAATGAACTCACCCAAAGCTCACCATGTTACTCTCTGGGAACTTCCTTGCTATGTCACATGCATTTCCCCAAAGGGACACTTCCTGCTGCCATAAGAAAATGTCTCAGTAGGTCAAGCCTCACCTCCCTCTTCTTGCCTGTGTTTTGCCAGGGTGGTCATGGAACTTTTCATGGAATTATTGCCTGATATGTCAAGAGCTTTGTAATGTTTTGAACAACCAATAAAAAAAATAAAATAAAATAAAAGAATTATTGCCATCTGGAACCTCAATGGGACTTTAAGGCTCCCTGTGAGCTCTGGAACTGACTCTAGAAATCCTAGAAATCCGAGAAATAAAATAAAATAAAATAAAAGAATTATTGCCATCTGGAGCCTCAATGGGACTTTAAGGCTCCCTGTGAGCTCTGGAAGTGACTCTAGAAATCCGAGAGAGCTGCCTGAATGAGCTTAATCAGGCAAAGAGCCTCCATAGACAGACAGTGACGGAGGACACTGGCTTGCACCAGGGCTTTGACTCATTTCTAGCAAGACTTAGGTGCCTTCTGGAGGCAGAAGGGCCACTTCACAACAATGGAACCCACTCGTGTTTTCTTGCTGAGTGAGGACCCACACCTTTTCAGAAAGAATACAAAGACAAAAAAAAAAAAGTACTTCAATTCTTTTTTTCACACACCTGTAATCCCAGCGGTTCGGGAGGCTGAGGAAGGAGAATCGCCAGGTTCAAAGCCAGCCTCAGCAACTGCAAAGTGCTAAGCAACTCAGTGGGACCTTATCTCTAAATAAAATACAAAAGAGAACAAACAAAAAAACGTCGATCCTTAAATGTCTGGCCTAGTGGGGGAGATGGAGAATATTCCTACAATGATAAATGCCACCCAGTGATACATGGTCTAAGGAAGTATAGAAAAACAGAAATTACTTTCAATTGGATAGACTAAACCAAATACCCTATAAAATGACAACCAAAGTGTTCAGCACTTAGTAAGCACACAATGAATGACATTAGCTACTTTTACAACCAAGAGTGGCTTTACCTAGGAAGTAGAATTTGGGGCAAGGTAGAATTGACTACTATATAAATTATAGGGTACCCTGTTAAGTTTGAACATCAGATGATAAATGATACTAAAATTTTTTTAGTACAAGTATATCCCAAATATTATGCTAGACATACTTACACTAAAATGTATTCATTATTTATCTGTAGTTCAAATTTAACTGACCATCCTGGTTTTTTTAATTATATGCTACATCTGACAAATCTAAGCCTAAGGGTTTTTTTTTAGCTTTAGTATAATTGAGAAATGTAGTATAATTGACAAATGAAAATTATATATACTAAAGTATATAAGTTATATATAATATATATACACACACACACACTAAGGTATATACTAAGGTGTTGATACACATGCATGTTGTAAAGTGATCATCACTGTCAAGATAATTAACATATGGATCATCTCATATACTTATCCTTTTGATTTAAATGAGAAGTCTTGGCAAACTTCAAGTGCACAAAACAGTATTGTAAACCATAAGCACTGTGCTGTTCATTAGATCTCCAGAAGTTATTCATCCTACATAACTGAAAATTTGTATGCTTTGACCAATGTCTCTCCATTTCTCCAGCTACCATCCTCTGGAAACTACCATTCAACTCTCTTCTATTTTAGATTCCACACACGAGAGACCATACAGCATTTGGTCTTTTTATATCTGCCTTATTTCACTTACCATTTTGTCTTCCGGTTTGTCCATGTTGTCAAAAATGGCAGGATTTTCTTCTTTTTACAGACTGAATAATTTTCCATTATACTTATCTACATGTATTTATTTATCTTTTTAATCTACTCATCATCAAGGAACATTTAGGCTTCTTCCATATCTTGACTGTTAGGTATAAAGCTACATTGATCATGGGGATGCACATATGTCTTCTACATGCTGATCTCATTTTCTTTACACACATTCTCCAAAACAGGATTGCTGGATCATATAGTAGTTTTCTATATGAAATTTCATATGGAGATGAAGAGTAGGGAAAGCAAATCATGATGCACAACACAGAGAAAGAAGAAAGAAATGGTATTTTCATCTTCTTTTTTTATTTATTAAAGCATTATAATTACACATAGTAGTTGGATTCATTTTGACAAAATTATACATGAAATTTGATTTACTCTATTTCAGTTCCCGTCTCCCCTTCCATTCCCTCCCTCTGCCTCTTCTTCCTCCCTCTACTCTAGTGATCTTCCTTTCACTCATTTATTTGTTTAGTTTTGATTGGTGCTTTCTACATGTACACAAAGGTGAGATTCCCTGTGGTATGTTTCTGTATGCACATAATGTGATTTTGTTAAATCTATTAGCATTTCCTCCCCTTTCTCATCCCCCCCACCCCCTCAATGCCCTTCCTCTACCTCACTCATTTCTCTTCTGTTTTCATGGAATTCCCTCCCCGACCTTCTCTCCCTTGTTTTGCTCTAGCTTCCACCTATGAGAAAAAACATCCAACCCTTTGTTTTCTGAGACTGGCTTATTTCACTTAGCAAGATGTTCTAGACTATTTCCATCCATTTGCCAGCCAATACGTAATTTCCTTCTTCTTTATGGCTGAGTAAAACTCCATTGTGTACGTATACCACAATTTCTTAACCCATTCATCTACTGATGGGCATCTGAGCTGATTCCATAATTTGGCTATTAAATTGTACTGCTATAAACATTGGAGTGGCTGTATTGCCATAGCATGCTGATTTTAGATCTTTTGAATAAATCGAAGGAGTGGGAGAGCTGGGTCATATGGTGATTTCATTTCTAATATTTTGGGGAGTCTCCAAAGTGCTTTCCAGAGTGTTTTGTTGTTGTTTGTTTGTTTGTTTTTTTACGAATTTTCCATCTTGTCAACATGTATTAGTGTACCTTTTCCCCTCATCCTCACTAACATTTACTATTATTTATATTCTTAATTTCCACTTCTAACTGGAATGAGATAAAATCTTAGTGTAGTTTTGATTTGCATTTCCTGGATTGCTAGAGATGTTAAACATTTTTTTTTCCATATATTTGCTGTCCATTTGTGTTTCTTCTTAGAAGAAATGTCTTTTTAGTTCTTTCTGCCCATTTATTGATTGGGTTATTTGGTTTTTCAGTGTTCAGTTTTTTTTGAGTTCTTCATGTATTCTGGATATTAATTCTCTGTTAGAGAAGCAGCTGGAAGAGATTTTCTCCCATTCTGTAGGCTCTCTCTTCATTGCTCTTAATCATTTCTTTTGCTGTGCAGAAGCTTTTTACATTGATGGCATCCAACGTATTAATTCTGTCTTATTTCTTGAGCCTTAGGGATCTTATTAAGGAAGTCAATGTTTGCACTAATATGATGAAGTGTTGATCCTGTGTTTTCTTCTTGCAGTTGCAAAGTTTCAGGTCTAATTTCTAAGTCTTTGATCCCACAAAAGGTTATTTTCAAATTAATTTTTAAAATTTACATATGACAGCAGAATGCATTACAATTCACATTACACATACAGAGCACATTTTTTCATATCTCTGGTTGTATACAAAGTATATTCATACCAATTCGTGTCTTCAAACCTGTACTTTGGATAATATTGCCCATCACATTCCACCATCATTTCTAACCCATTTCTGGCACTGCAGACTCTCCAATAATCGCTGCCATTTACTGAATACTTAGTATGTAGCAGTCACTGTTTTAAGGAATGTACAAGGATTAACTTATATATTCTCCATAAAGACATAGGTGGTAGGTTATCATTAACTCTGTTTTTAAAATGAGGAAACAGAGCCAGACAGAGATATTGCAACCTGTCAAAGAGCACAGAGCTTAGAAATGGTGTAGCTGGGACTGTGAACCTAGGATGTTTGTTTCAAAGGGCTGCTGCCTCAACCATTTTGGAGAGAAAAAAATAATCTGTTTACAACAAGCTTCTAGAAGACCTTCAGGGTCAGCCTATCACCAAAGTTATTGATTTTTTGAAAGTCGGATCACCCAACCCTGATTCTTTTATCAAGTGAAATATCATTTGTTAAATCTCTACTTCACAGCTTGCTCGCCTTGGCCACCCCCCGTAATCCCCCAGGTATGGAAGTGTGGATGTGTCCTCCTGTGTCACCCTTTGCATTTTCAAAGTCACCCTGTTCCTGGAATATGGGGTCATCCCCCAACTGCTGGCTGGAAAATCAAATGCTGCTGTTTGCAACAGTTTATCGGAAGCAAACAAGTTGAGGAAAATTGAGTAAGAATTTCTGGGATACCAACATTATGGCAGGAGCAAAGGAAGCAGAATGAGCTTGAGGACGGTCTAAAAAGGACAAAGGTAATGATTTACCAAGCAGCCTGCAGATTTAAATGGGGTGGCAGCTAGGAGTGGAGGCAATCCTCCTTTCTTTCAACTGGAGTGCTTCTCATGAGCCAACCCCTGGCTCAGAGAAGATGTTTTCCATGAGGATCGTCTGCCTGGTCCTGAGCGTGGTCAGCACAGTATGGGTAGGGTGCCATTTATTCTTTGTTTCTCTCTGGTGTTTATTCTACAAAGAGCTTGGAGGTTCTGATTCTGCTAATTGTATATTCTGATACACTCTCAGCCTTAGGCTCTGGAGGCAACTTGCTAAAAAGGCTTGGCAAGAATGCAGGATAATATGCCTGACTATAAGAGGAAGATGTTAGAGGAACCCAAGTGTACAAATTCACAAGGGAGATTTTGACATCTGTCATTCAGTTTTAAAACACTGTTGGTTGTGTTTTTCTCAGAATTTTTAAGGACAAGAATCCTTCACATTTTTGTCCCTTTAAAGTCTTGGGGTATTATCATGCTAGATAACAGAACAAGGATTCTATAAGATTTTTTTTCCCTCTAATTCTTAAATGCTTATTATTTGTCTGTAATAAGCATAATGTTTAGTTTTATTTAAATTTTTATAAAAGGTTGCTTTTTTTATTCAAGACAAAATGCTTAAAAACCAAATGCATTATATTTGGAAACATACAGCAAGACCACAAGAAATAAGTTGAAAAGTAAATAGGTTTATTTGGAAATATTATATTCTTTTAAGATAACTTCTAAATGTTTAAATATGGCAAGAATTTCTAAAATTTAGCTCCAGAGATATATATCAAGGAAGAAAAAAATTTATTCAAAAATATTTCTGAAACACTCTGAGTTTATAAAAAAAATATGTCAAATATGTTCTGGAAACTCGGTTATCTCCTCGTTCATTATACAAGATGTAAATTATTTCAATTTATTTCTTGCCCCCCCCAACTCATAAATTTTAGTGTGGGCATAAGCAATAAAGAAGGAAAAAGATGAAGAAGGGGTTTTAACTTAATTTTCTCCCTTATAGAAAAATAATAAGAAAGACTTTTTGTAGGAAATAAAACTAAAACCATTTATTAAAGTGATATTTCAGGTAATGCATAGGCTTTAATTATTTTTCCTCTCTCTTTTGGCATAAATCTACAAATTTTGCTTGTTTTTATTGTTGTTTTGCTTTATTCTGAAATATGTTTGAATTTACTCTTTCATTTTTTTAGGCAAAAGGATTTTACTTGTTTCTTTCATTAATTGTTCTTGGTTCTTTGAATTAGGATTATTGTTATTTGGATATGCTTAAGAAATGAAATTAGGACTGTAAATATTAGCTTAAACTATCCCATACTAAAGAAGTCACAACAAAATTCTTGTAAGTTGGTGGTGTAGCAAAAAATAGTGAAAATCTAGAGCCATTTTTATATATTAAGATATAAAGTCTTATTAGTAGAGTTTTTATACCTTATTTGACCACTTGGTTCAGAATAGGAAATTTTTAAGTCTGTATTTCTAATTATAAGATGTTAAAAAAAAAAGTTGTCAGTCAGCAACTATTTTTTGTTTGTTTTCTGTCTACTTTTTTTTTTTCACTTCAAATAAAAAGAAATCACTCCATGAATGAGCAACCCAAAGAGCATTCCTAAGTTTTACTTCACCCTATTTGTGCCCTTGGTGATGGCTCTTCTGAACTATGGACCCATCGCTAAAGGCTGCACTAAATACTTGAAGGGAAGTTAAGATAGTGTAGGTTTCTGCCTACTGAAATAGGAATTTTAGGAGAAAGAACTCTGAATTTTTCCATTATCTTCCCATCTACAATCATTATGAAAAGGCAAAATTTAACCGATTTCATGGATCCAAATAATTAATTACCTTTATCACAAGCCCTTTAAAACTCCTGACATTAATCAGACATTTATTGTCAAACACTGTTAAGAAATGTGTACTCCTTATCTTCTTTAAGTCTCATAACCATTTCGTAAAACGGGTATGAGGATTTTCATTGGAAGGTAAGAAACCTAAAGTTTTGTGGAAGCCCTGAAATTGTGACTTAGGATCTCTTAAGAGTGCCATTCATTCCTGGGACTTGTAGGCATGACAGTGTCTCTTCTTCTCCTGGCTAACGTTGTTGTTGCTCTTTTTGTGCATTGTGAATGAATCTTTAAAGACTGCAGATACAGAAAAAGATGAATTCTTAAAAAAAGGAGGAGGGGTGCGTGGCCCAAGAGTTGTGGAAGGACAGCAGTCTGACTGCAAAGTGGGGGACTGGCCCGTCTGTGCTGATGAAGAGTGGGTAAGCTGTGGGCCTGGGGAGCAGGAGGGTCCTTCCCTATGGTGCTAGAAAGGGGCCCAGAAAACTTTTCCAGTAGGAAATAACCTAATAATAATCTAGCTCCTTGCCTGTCTAATTAAAAACAACAAAGGTCAAGGTACCTAATCCTGAGAGCACAGTTTAATTACAACCCACTCTGGATCGTTACCTGGTTGAACAGATTGGATGTTAGTTGAAAGCTTAGGCAAGTTCTAGGAACCTGAGTACTGCGGTCTCAACATTTGATGGAACCCCATTTATAGGTAGGTCAACACTCATTCCAGAGTTTCTCTAATTAGTCCTCTTGATTATTTTTAAGTCAGAAGGGATGGTGGGAACTGCAAATCATTCTGGATCCAAGAGATAGGCCCTTAATGTAATTTTCCCCTATTCACTTTCAGAACCAAAAATGCCCTTCTGGCTGCAGGATGAAAGGGTTGATTGATGAAGTCAATCAAGATTTTACGAACAGAATAAATAAGCTCAAAAATTCGCTCTTTGATTATCAAAAAAACAATAAAGATTCTAATACGTTGACCAGGAATATAATGGAGCTTTTGAGAGGGGACTTTGCCAACGCCAATAGTAAGTATTCCATATTATTATTTTGACCTTATAACTAAAGCAACAACACAAATCTTAAATAAATAAGATGTCTGCTTATAGCTACTGAAATTTATTCCAAAGTACTTAGCATAGAAATACATGCCTTCTTGATATCCCTGAATTTTAAGGAGAGGCTTGTTTTTTTTTTTTTTTAATCTTTTTTCACAAAGCAAAAGAAGTTACTTTAGACTCTTAAAGGTCACAAAGTTGGTCAGAATTTTGGATTGAAGACAAGAATGTAAGCATGTTGTTTTTAAGAATATATACTGAAAATTAGATGGACCGGATGCTTTGAGCAGATTTGTTTTTGCGAGGGAGGGTTACCAAAGATTGAACTCAGAGGCACTCAACCACTGAGCCACATCCTCAGTCCTATTTTTTGTATTTTATTTGGAGACAGGGTCTCACCGGGTTGTTGGGCTCCTCGCTTTTTGCCGAGGCTGGCTTTAAACTCACAATCCTCCTGTCTCAGCCTCCCAAACTGCTGGGATTACAGGCATGCACCACCTCACCCGGCAGATATTTTTGTTTCTATCTTATGGAGGAGGAAACTCACAGGTCAATGAACTTGCTCAAAGACACAAAGCTGGAGGTGAACCCCAGACCCCACTGAGTTCATTATGTAGATTTTTAAATTTTTAAAAATAGAACCATTCTCTTTCTCTCTGTTTACCCCCAAAAGAGTTGAGGAACAATTTAACATCTATAGGTAGGAAGAAAAACTCCTCAGTAAGTAAATCCAATAATGGATTCAAATCTCTTGAGTAAGGATATGATAAAATAATTGGAATGTGATCAAACTATTTTATCTCTTAATTAACCTTTGAAGAAATTTATTATGTATTAAATAAATTCTATTATTATTTATTAAATAAATCTGCTAGTTCTTTATCATCTATTTATAAATTCATTATTTCTTTATTATTTATTAAATAAATTTCTTTGGAATTCCTTCTGTGTTTATTTGAATTACTAACTACTACTAAGACATTGGAACCGACATTCATGAATGACTGCAGGATGCAACAGTGTCTAAAAATTGAATGCCTAATAAGCTTGAAATTCACAGAATAAATATATGGAGAACAAACTGTGAACAAAACAAAATGTGGGAGTATTTATAATCAAATTTCCTGTATTTTCTTGCTGGCTATTATAAGCAAATCACTCCCAGAAACTTCAAAACCTATGTTTTCTATTTCAGACCATGATAATACATATAATCAAGTGTCAGAAGATTTGAGAAGCAGAATTGAGATCCTGAAGCGCAAAGTAATAGAGAAAGTACAGCAAATACAGCTTCTGCAGAACAATGTCAGGGCCCAGCTGATAGATATGAAACGCCTGGAGGTAAGACTGTAGCTCAGACCCATGTCCTTGTCATTGAACTGTGAGGAAAAGGAAGACAGTAGTCACACCCATTGAGTATCTACCATATGCAAAGAAAAGTACTATACCCACCATCTGCTTAAAAGTAGGAACTATCACCCCTGCACTAAAGATGAAGAAAAGTAAACTTTCAACAGCACATAGTAAATTTCAAAAGCAAAACTTAAGTCCTGTCTGCCTGATTCCAAAACCCAGGATATCACCAACCTGGGGCCTTAGCCTCAGTTGTACCAAGGGTGTTTTAATTGGTGTTGCCTTTCAGAGGGAATGGCACCTTACTCTCTACCATTCTGAATCTAAGATGAACCCTAAGAGCTCCCATTGCAAATCCTAGCTAGCCTTCCCGTGCTCAACCTGTCTTGCATTGAAGATAGAAAACAAAAATATGGATTAGTAGGTCTGCAAGTCGTAAAAATTTAACCAGTTTCTAAACAATAAATGGACTTCCAGGAACTCAAGAGGCATGGTCCCTTATTTAAATCTACCTTTTCCTTTTCTCTTTCTCTAGGTGGACATCGATATTAAGATCCGATCTTGCCAAGGGTCATGTAGTAGGTCTGTATCACGTGAGATAGATCTGAAGGACTATGAAAACCAGCAGAGGCAACTTGAACAGATCATATCCCAAAACTTACTTCCCTCTGCAGACAGGCAATACTTACCCCTGATAAAAATGACTCCAGTCCCAGACTTGGTTCCTGGACATTACAAGAGCCAGCTTCAAAAGGCCCCTCCAGAGTGGAAGGCGTTAACAGAAATGCAACAGATGAGGATGGTGTTAGAGCGACACGGAAGAGAGGGGAGTGCCCGAGGAGACTCTCCATCTTATGGAACAGGGTCAGTGACAGAAAGGCCCAGGAACCCTGGATCTTCTGGTACGGGACCATGGAATCCTGGAAGTTCTAGGCCTGGAAGTGGTGGAAATTGGAACCCTGGGACTGCTGGATCCGATGGTACTGGACACTGGAATCCTGGTAGCTCTGGACACAGTCATAGTGGAAATTGGAATCCTGGAGGCTCTGGACATGGAAGTTTTAGGCCAGAGAGTGGGGGCTATGGGAACACCAGGCCTGCCAACCCAGACTGGGGGGAATTTGAAGAGATGACAGGAAATATAAATCCAGGGACAAAGAAAGAATATAGCACAGGTAAACTGGTCACTTCTAAAGGAGAGAAAGAGCTCCTGATTGGGAACGAGAAGGTCACCTCTGCTAGTACAACCACCTCACGTCGTTCGTGCTCAAAAACCATCACTAAGACTGTGATAGGTGCCGATGGTCGCAGAGAAGTAACCAAAGAAGTGGTAAATTCTGAAGATCCTGCTGACTGTGGTGATGCCACTGACCTAGACTCAATGCACAGAGGCAGCCTGGCTGACTTTTCCAGACTGCACCCTGAGGAAGCTTCTTTCTTCGAAACTTCCTCAATTGGGAAAACATTCCCAGGTTTACTCCCACCTTCCTTCAAAGAGTTTGGCAGTAAGATCCAAACTATGGGCTCAGAATCCGACACAGGGGAAACTGGCTCTCTTCATGATTTCCCCTCCAGTGGAAAAACTTCAAGTCACAGAAAACTTGTAACCAGTAGCACAACTTACAGTAGAGGAGGCTCCACAGTGGAAACCAAGAACTATAAAATGGCAGATGAGGCTGGAAGTGAAGCCGGCCATGAAGAATTCCGAGAAGCCCATACTATCAAGAGAGGCCATGCCAAGTCTCGTCCTTCCAGAGGTATCCACACTTCTCCTTTGGGGGAGCCTTCCCTGAACCCCTAGACTAATTATTTCTGCAAAGTGCTCCCACAAGTACCTTGCACTTCTTTCTTAGTCATCTACTAAGCTTTATCAAAATGACACTTTTTTGGGGGGGTCTGTTTTTCATGCTAGACTGTGAGTTCCATGGGGGAAGGGGCTTTGTCTATTGTGTTTATCTCTGTATTCCCAAATGCCTAGCAGTGCAGAAAGTCATCACTCAATAAATACATGTTAAATGAATGAATGAATACCTTCTGAAACTCGGTTTTGAGTTTGTATAACCAAATTGTTTCATCATTCAAAATACGCGCTATAGGAATTGTCACTCAATTGACTAATTGTAATTTTTAGCGTGTGTCTCAGTTGATATTTAGATCAGGTGAAAAACAAGTTGTACTAGTCTTCATTGAAACTTGGCTACCTTTGATGGCTATTTGCCATTAGTCAGTTTGTGCAAGTAAAATTCCAAATTCATTTGAGAAAAATTTGCATTTTGAAGATATAGATGACCCTCAATTGCATACAATTATATCCCACTTATGTACATACTTTTCCCATGGGCAGAAGGAAGGAAAGAAAGAAGGAAGGGAAGAAAGAAAGCAGTATTTGCCTTCTTTAATCTGGTCCATGCCTATCTTTGTAAAAGTTAAATGAGAGTAACTTCTTCCAACCAGCTTAATTTTTTTTTTAGACTGTGATGATGTCCTCCAAACACATCCTTCAGGTGCCCAAAGTGGCATTTTCAATATCAAGCTACCAGGATCCAGTAAGATTTTTTCTGTTTATTGCGATCAAGAGACCAGTTTGGGAGGATGGCTTTTGATCCAGCAAAGAATGGATGGATCACTGAATTTTAACCGGACCTGGCAAGACTACAAGAGAGGTTTCGGCAGCCTGAATGACAAGGGGGAAGGAGAATTCTGGCTAGGCAATGACTACCTCCACTTACTCACACAGAGGGGCTCTATCCTTAGGGTAGAATTGGAGGACTGGGATGGGAAAGGGGCTTATGCGGAGTACCACTTGCGGGTGGGCTCTGAGGAGGAAGGATATGCTCTGCAGGTTTCCTCCTATACGGGCACTGCTGGGGATGCTCTGATTGAGGGTTCTGTGGAAGAAGGGACCGAATACACTTCTCACAATGCCATGCAATTCAGTACCTTCGACAGGGATGCAGACCAGTGGGAAGAGAACTGTGCAGAAGTCTACGGAGGGGGCTGGTGGTACAACAACTGCCAGGCAGCCAACCTCAATGGCATCTTCTACCCTGGGGGCTCCTATGACCCAAGGAACAACAGCCCTTATGAGATTGAGAATGGAGTGGTCTGGGTCCCCTTTAGAGGAGCAGATTATTCCCTGAGGGTTGTCCGCATGAAAATCAGGCCCCTGGTGAGCCAGTAGGCCAAAGCAGTGGGAATGGGGACAGAAAGGCTTGGTTTGTTTAGCAAAGTGGAGAGAAAATAAGGAAGATAAAGGAGTCAAGATTCTTTACCACCTATTAAAAATGCCCAGGTGCTATTTCATTGTTCTTTGTACTGTAGCCAAATGTAACTGAGACATATTAGTGCTTTGAAAAATAAAATAATCAAACTTTTTTTTACCTTTTAATAACTCTGTGGGCTTTAAAATTTTTAAAGAAATACACTAAGGGACATTCATTACACCAGGAGGAGGGAGTCACATGGGACCTCCTTTCTGTAACCCAGAAGATGTTGAAAACTTCTCTTCCACACCACCCAGTCATAGGCTAGCCCATTGCAAACTTGTTATTTTCATCCACTAGGTTTGAATGGTTTAAAACCAACATTTTGAGTTAAAAATCACTGAATTGAGCAGTGCTTGACCTTTGTAGAGGAATTCACAATTTTCAAAGTATGTTTTTTAAATTTTTTAATATTTATTTGTTAGTTGTAGTTGGACATAATACCTTTATTTATTTTTATATGGTGCTGAGGATCAAACTCAGAGTCTTGCACATGCTAGGCGAGCACTCTACTGCTGAGCCACAGCCCATCCCTCAAAATATGTTCATCTCTTCTTTCAGCAAGCAAGTCCAGAAAAACCATTCTTTCCTAATAGAAATGGAAATGTATTCTTTGAGTCTACCCATAGAGACTATAAGGCAGACTCAAATTCTTTTTCAGAGTCTAACCGATTTCTTTCAAGAACATATGGAAAAACACATTTAAAATATTTACAAATATTTCCAAAAAGGAAATTTACACATGCATAAACAATCTCCCCAGTATTGATTTGATTTCAGTTTTCCACCAAATACTAAACCATAACTTTGAAAACACCTCACTAAATATGATCTATGCCATTTTTATAAATTCAACATATTTACATTGGTCAATTTGTTTTCTTTTGTGGGTTCTCTTTAATTATATGAAAGAGATTATGAATGGAAAGGGCTTTCTTTGAAGATTTTGAATTCATTATAAGAGAATTAAGTAGACTTTCAATTCAATAAACAGTACATTTTAGCAGACTCATTTATGATTGGAAATAGAGTTTGAGTGGGAGAAAAGACACCACACATCTCTTTATTCCATCTGACCTTCTCTTTAACCGATTTCTTTCTCTCCCTTCCCTTGAAATTAGTGATTAATTCGTCTTCAATTCCTTTCATTCCTTGGGAAATCCCCTCAACTTGGCTTCCAGGTGCTTACTGGTCTCTTGAAATTGCTCTCCTTCGGTTAGCAGTGACTTTGTAACTTTGTTAGGATCCTGCGTTCAAGCCTTTCCCTTCATAGCCTCTTTTCATAGTCACCCCATCCTTGGATCTGTCTCCTCTCTTGGTTTCTGGTATCTCACTCCTTCCCGTCTCACAATTTTCTGTTTTTTTTTTTTTTTTTAAACTGGTGATTTCTTCCCAGATGACTCCTTAAATGCAAGGGTTTGTCATTACGATAACATTAGTGCTCATCTATTAGGGTGAGGTTTGGCATGTGTGGCTTCAACAAGGAAGAGTCCATTTTCTGTTCACAGGAAAAAAAAAAAAGTCTGCAGAAATATGTTCCCACAGTCCTCAAGAAGTCAAATCTTAACAGAGGGGCTGCAGTTGTGGCTCAGCGATAGAGCACTTGCCTTGCACCTGTGAGGCACTGGGTTCAATCCTCAGCACCACATAAAAATGAATAAGTAAAATAAAGATATTGTGTCCATCTACAACTAAAAAAGTAGTTTTTTAAAAAAAATATTAACAGAGGCTTGCAGATCACTTCCTGGTCTACACCTTGTGTTCTGTGATAGCCTGGAAGAAGGAGGAAAGATGGAATGGAAAGGGAGTCTCTTCTCATTTAAGGAGCTTTCTTGATTGCTCCATAGAACACCTCCACTGACATCTTATGGGTCACACCTTAGTCACACAGGTAGATCTAATAGGAGACGCTGACATTTGCTTTTAGCTTGGGTATAAGAGAGTCCTAATTAAAATTAGGATTCTGTTAATAAAGAGGAGAGGGAGAATAGAGATTGAAATCCAGTTAATACTTTTAGCCAAACCCTGATTTCTCTCTCTACAATGAGGACCTTTGCTCTTCATTTTGTGTGACCATCACCTAAAGCTTCATCTACATCAGTGGACTTGAGCAGGAAAGTCAGTGAGGTTAGGTTAAATTTGTTTAGCTTTGCACATGAACTCTTACACAAATTAGCCCATTTCCACTTCTACAATCATTCGCTCTGCACTTCAATTACATTGCATTTTTCATTGGTACTGGAATACCAGGTTTTTTAATGATTTTGTGCTTTCTCACATACTATCTAGAAGATGCCCATTTATCCCTTTAAAAATAGCTCAAATCATGCTTCTGAGAGCCTTTCCCTGATGTCCACCACATGATACAATGAATTGTTCTCTTGTGCCTTGTTTTTGCAAAAATAAAGCAGTCTATTCCTGACCCTAACACACTAATTTTACTGTGGCACTAGATTGTGAATTCCTTTAGGCCAGAGCTCATTTATGTCATGTATTCTGTCCTACGTAAGACTATCTCACTCATCCTAAGATGATACAGATAGATTTTAAATATTTCTTTAAATATTTTTCTTTTATATTTACATGCCTAATTAATCTGGAATTTGTTTTAATATATTATGAAGAAAATATTCTCTTTTTTTTTCTTCTGAAAGATGTCCAAGTATTAGTGGGATACCTTGTTAAATAAAGCATTCTTTGCCCATAGAATTTACATGTCAATTTATTGTACGAATTTTCTCTGGATCTCTTCATAGATGCCTTTGTTTAGCCTCCTGTTTAGGTCCATTGTGTGTGTGTGTGTGTGTGTGTGTTGTGTTAGGGATTGAACATAGGGCCTTGGTAGGCAAGAGCTCTATCCCTGAGCGAGACCCACAGTGCTATTCCTTATTCATGTTTAAAATACAGCTTTTGGATGAAATTGTCTCACTTCTATCCCATTTTGGTTTTTGTTTGCTTGTTTGTTTTTTAATCTAGAAAAATTGTAACTTTCATTTTTACTTTTGAAATTTTCTTCTAGGGGTTACCTGGAAAAGTCTTTCTTAATTTACAATTAGTTACCTTTTAAGGGGTTTAGAGTAAGTTGCCTCTTCCATAATCAAGTTCTATTTAGGTTTTCTATTTCAAAATAACCCTTGAATGAATGAATGTATGAATGAACAAAATAGATATGAACCAGAACATTTTGCCATGAAAGTACATAATTTTAAATATTTCTTCCTTGGAGGAAAATGCCGAATTAGGGTTTCTGATTTTGAGTTAGGAATATAAAAAACATCCAGTCATATTTCAAGTTATGCATAGGTTAATCGATGTCTTTTAGCCTGAGGCTATCCTTGATGCTCTTCTTCAGTATGCTATAGTATATGAAGGAAAGCTCTTAGTTACTCTTTTCTGAGGTGCAGGAACTATATTTTTATATCTACTACTTAACGCAAGGCCTGTCACATAATAATGACCCAATAAATTTTTATAAGTAAAGGAATCTAAAAACTTTTAGTCTTCTACTTCAAACCTTACAAAAATCCCTTCCATATCTAGTGATATACCCAAGTTAATTAAGATGTCTTATTTTATTTTTATTCACGAAACTACTTACATTTTAATTCATGTACTATATTTGCAAATATAGTTCCAGTTTTCTGAAACTCTTTAGTACTGGAAATTTGGAGAAATAAATTTCTCTAAAATGTTAGAAGAACACTTTTAATTAATAATCACATATTGCTAGTTCCTTTTACAAAGTTGAGATCATTTTATTAATTGATTGCTCAGGTGATAGAATAAATTAGGGAGGTTAAATTCTGTGATGATAAGGGGCACACCTGTGAGTGAAGCACACGATATTGTTTTCATAGGTTCTAACCACCTAAGTTCCACCACTTATTATTCATTTGGAGATAATGATACTGTAATTCAGAGATAAACATCAGACTATTGTATATGGCATTTGCTTTAAATTATTTTCCCAGTACTGTTACTGATTTGATTATACTCTGTCATAGGTTCCCCAAGGCAACAAAATATATTTCCCAGTTAGCTAGTGCTAGAGGAGCTGCAGGTGAATCTGGAAAGTAGAGCTATGCAGACACATTCACTCATCTCAAATCAGGTCTACAAAAACCTGAAAGGAAATGATAGGTCACTAATACAAGTACATGCAGAATGCAAAGTCATAAACCTACTATATTTTATATTCAAGAAAAATAATGCAACATTTACTATTTACCAAAAATGTTTGAGATTAGCAACATTTAGATTTTGATAACTCTGAACATAATGCAAATTCCTTGTAGGTAGTGAGCTTAACATAGAAACCATTTCTGAGATATCTTGTATTTTATTTATTTATCCATTTATTTATTTTTGCATTCATTGATTCATTTATTGTTAGCTTTTAATTGAGACCAAGTACTTTTTAAATGTCATTCATGGAGAAAATACAAATTAATTGAGGTTGAGATCAGGAAGGACCTCAAACATTACAATATTATAGGGATTTGCATTTGGGGAGGAAATTCAAATTAATACTTGAAAAAGACATTATGTCTTTCATTTTCACATAGCAAAAGCAACAATCAAAAGCACAGAGGACTTCCCATTTATTTGCTGCTATAGTCTCTCAGTGATATAAGCAGTTATACGCGTGGGATAAAACAATATTGGGCCATTGTAAATTGAGGTGAAGTTACTTTCATCTCTTCTGCATGGTCTAGACAGTGTAAAAAAAAAAAAAAAAGCACAGAGGAGAGTAAACCTAAGAGTAAGCCAGGTTTGAGCTGAGAAAAGCTAAGTTATGAAACAGTGGTCTCCCTGTTCATCATCTCATTGCTGAAGGTGGGTATGTGGTGATTGCAAAAGAGTAAAATATTTGCCAGACTCATCTTTGACTCAATCCCCAAAAGGTCTATGACCTCAAGGTTGCACGCCTACATAAGCTATTGCAAAATTGCCTTCAAGTATCTCCTTTTGAGAGATAAAGCAAATGCAGTAAACAATTGGTGACTCTGGGTGAAGGATAGAGAGGTACTCATTAAACTTACAATTTTTTTTTTTAGTCTGAAACCTTTCAAAGTAAAATGTTAGAAGGAGAAATAAATATAATTTAATCAAAAACCCCAAACAAAAAAAAAATGCTACCTTTTGATCACATTTTGGGTGGGAGAAGGAGCTATAAAACAACTTAAAGTCCAACCAAGAGAATCACCTAAGGCTGTGATGCAATGTGGGAGAGATGGTGGGTTTAGCCTTTGGAGACATACTAAACCCAAGTCCAGTCTTAAACATAGGTAGAAGTTTCCTACAAGATTATGGAAACTTCAAGGATAACAATTTGCTCTAAATATACTTCATGGTGGTCATTTGAATGAAAAACAAGATGCTAGGTAAGAGAGATAAAAGGAGTCACAGATAAATGTATCCTGCATCAGTAATTCCCAAATCCAGCCAGTGATCAGAAACTCTATTGAGAAAACAGACTCTTTGGCTTATTCCACATGCAGACTTTGATGTAATAAACCTAGGTTTATACCAGGAAATCCCTGCAGATTCTGATAACCAGGATCCAGGACTTTAAGTGTGTAATAATTAAACAGAAATATTGATTGATCTGGTGATATGTCACATTACCCCCAATTTTTGTCCCAAGTGCAGAATCTGTGATCATCTTAAAATCCAGTCCCTTAGTTACATTGATTAGTTGTTTCCCTTGCTTCCTGAATGCAAAGGAATTAAAAGTTTATGTCGCATAATATATGTGTACGTATACATATACAATATATTTTTATAGTTTGTTGCATAATTTCAGCCCTAATTGTATAATAAAATATTATTTTTCTCATGCCACAGTGTAGCATTAACCTTAACGTTCAACTCATTATTACATTATGTTCATAAAGTCATGGTTTAATAGTCTTTTTCAATGCTATCTTTTTAATTCTGACTAGAGGAAACTATTGTTTTATTATATTCAAAATTGTAATGCCCAAAAGGGCAAAATCAGATAGATAGCATTTCTTACCAAATGATGCTTTAATAGAGCTTGCTTCTTTCTAGATAGACTTATATATTACATGTATTCCAGGAGTGATGTTTTGCTATTTGTATGTGGGCTAAGAATTGGCCATTGGATTGTCTGATTTAATGGTTTTAAATCTGTGCCTTTACTTTAAGCTCTAGGGATACACTAGGTCCTCTGTGTGTGCATAAGGGGTTGAGCAAAGGTCTGAGGATTGACCTTCCCAGCCCCCGTCTTCCAGTGGACTCTTGACCCCAAAGTTCCACTCTTAACTATTTTGCCTAATGAGTTTCTACGCGTACCTTTATTGGACTGTGAGTTCTGTATAAAAACAGGAATATCCCAAACTCTGATAATCATTGGGTTTAATCTGTCAACACTTATGAGTTTATGAAAAGTAGTCTGACAGACTAATCATTCTGAAATCAAACCCTAATAAGAGCTTATTATTAATGTAGGAAAAAAGGTGTATCAAAAAAACAGATCAATTACTGGTATTAGTTTTTTAAATTGCCCAAGAGTTTCAGAGAGTTCTCTCTTGGTGTTGATAATTAAAGGGAAATTTGAAATGAATAGTAATTTAGCAGATGGTGTTGGGGGGAATAAGCTGTTGAACATGAGAACTGCTTTCCCTAGTGGCTGCATTAACAGTGCACAAGGATATGCACAGTATCTAATAGTCAGAGTGATAGAAGCGGAAAAACAGCTGGTGGTGGCCAGGGATAAGGGGAGGAGGAAGGGGGAACTTTTCAATGAGTATAAAGTTAGAGTTATGAATAAGTCCTGGAGATCTTCTTACAATGTACTGCCTGTAGATAATAATACAATATTGTACATTGAAAATTTTGATAAGAGTTGATCTCATATCAAATGTTCTTACCACAACTTAACAAAACAAAACAAAGGAACACAAGAAAACTTTTGGAGGTGATGGATTGGATACCTTAGTGATAGCTCTACACATATTGAAGCTTATTGAGTAGCATATGTTAAGAATGTGCAAGTTTGGGGGCTGGGGATATGGCTCAAGTGGTAGTTCACTCGCCTAGCATGCGTGAGGCACTGGGTTCGATTCTCAGCACCACATAAAAACAAAATAAGGATATTGTGTCCACCTAAAACTAAAAAATAAATATTTTTTAAAAAGAGTGTGCAAGTTTGAGTGTTTCGTTTTTGTTTTGGGGGTGGGGGTGCTAGGCATTGAACTTTGTTTGTTTGTATGTCAATTATACCTGAATAAAGCCAGTGAAAACATTTTCAAGGACCTGATCTGTCCTGATATGGTGAGAAACCCACTGTGACAAAAATGTAGGTAGGCAGGAGAGGGTACTGGGACCAAGTAGTAAGCCATTTTCATCTCTAACTAAAAAATTTGATTTTAGGGAATTTTGACATAGACAGCAAGGAACTAACATTAAGCAGGAAAGTAACTTGGCCAGAGTTTTCTATTTTTAGGATGATATGTGAGATGACAGAGTGATAGAAGGAGCACAAGCTACAGGTGACAAAACCCATGGCAGGGTAACCAGATAAAAGTTGAAGTCAGATTTGATGACATGACAGCATTCAGAATAAAGAAAGTAATACCCTTTTTTTTTTCTTAGAAAAATGAAGAGGATGAGTGTTATGGTTTAGATGTGAGGTGTCTACAAAAAACTCAGATGTGAAACAATGCAAGAGGGTTTCGAGGTGAGATGATTGGGATATGAGAGACTTAACCTAATCAGAGCATTAATCCTCCGGTAGGGATGAACTCGGTGGTAACCGTAGGCAGGTAGGGTGTGGCTGGGGGAGCTTGTTATTGAGGGCGTGACTTTGGGGGATACATTTTGTTGATGGTGAGTGGAGTCTCTCTCTGTGCTTCCTGGTGCCATGCTCACATCTGCTTTCCTGGGCTACATGCTTCCACCATGATGTTCTGCCTCACCTGGAACCCCAAAGAATGGAATTGGCCAACTATGGACAAGACCACTGAAGCCATGAGACCCAAAAGAAACTGTTCCTCCACTAAAATAGTTCTTGCCAGGTCTTTTAGTCACAGTAGTAAAAAGGTAGATTCATACAATGAACTTCAGGGCATTAAGGTCTATCAGAATAAATGGCAATGACAAAAAAGGACTGAGGAACCTAGGGTTACCAAGGGCAGTTGAGGTGCAATGAGGAGACGTTGAAACAATATACCCACTTCAAAAGGAGAAGTAGAAAGAACAGTTCTACTTCTAGTATAACTTTGTAAAGAAGAAAAACCTAGTTGAGAGTAACAGTAGACCTCATCCATGAAAACTATGCATACTCTTACTTTGCTATTTCCCTTTAAAAAATGTTTGATGAAGACTTGCTCCTGATTATCCCCTGGAAGTTCTGATCCTAATAAAGATTAGTGGGTTTCCCATGGTACAGAGTAAAATTTTGACTCATCAGATACTTGAAGCTGAGGATGCTTCTCTCTCTTACAAGTTCAAAGTCTAACTCATTGGCAGTGTGGATATCAAAATAAGGAAACATTGATTTATTGCAACAGACACTGGTTTAATTAATAATTCTGAAAGTTTTCAGTGACAGATATTACATAAATAAATAGAGTTTTAAAAGTGGATATTTAGAAAAAGATTTTAGTTTGCCTCATCATTTTTCTATAAGGATAGATTATCTCTCTTCCTGATTTGAAACTTTTCACAATCAATTCGAACCAACTGACTCTGTCCACCAACTATCCTCTTAGTTACTTCATGGTAAGGTGAGTGAAGAATATGAAAGAAAATTTCATGCTACTTTGAATGTCATTTATCCTATACCTTTTCCAAAAAGACACAGAATCATATGAGATTTTCAGAGGGATATAATGTATGAAAGAAAATTCCAATAACATAATGTAAAAAATGTTGTCACATATAGAAGAATAAAAATCTACATTTGGGAAACTATTGCTGTGGGAAGAAGGGCCTGATCTTCATTGATATCTTCCTCATTGAATACCATGACCCCTTCCAATTCATCCATACTACGCCATCATCTGTGCCATGCTTGGCCATGTCCCAGCTGTACTGTCCACCCCAGTAGTATCTGCCATTTGGATTGGCTGCGTGACATCTGTTATACCACCATCCACCACCATCTTCTTTAGAACACTGTTTTCTTGGATCTTCATTTGTCCTGAAAGGAAATATGTCTTGGGTTACTAGAAGCAGAACTACAGTTGTCAAGTTAATTCTTTGCAGAGTATCCACAGGAGAGTGCTATACTGAGGTACTTCCCTTGGGTTCTACATGTAAAGTCCTATAAGTACACCAAAGGCTTCCCTGTCCCATAGCAAGAAAGGGAGATAGCTGGGCCTATGTGGCCAAGTCATGTAGTGATGACATTGGTTACTTCATACTGAAATGATAACTTTCAGATGCATTAGTATTTAAGAACCCTGGAAATCAAAATGAAGATCTTCAAATAAACATTAGAGCATAGATATGTAGGTATTTATATGAATGTTCATTGCTCAGAAAATGAGTGTGGTCTAATTCCAGTTCCTTCTCTTACTGGACTTTGGGTTAATTATTTAATTTCTTGAAGTTGCATTTATAAAGTGAGAATAATAATTTCTACTTTATAGTTGAAATGCTTTTAAGTGAAACATACATTGGGTGACAGATTGTGGCTGCTAATAACATTAGCTGTTAAATGATGCTGAGTAATAATACTAGTAGGGACTTTTAAATTAGGAGTGAAGAATGCCGCACATACCAGCCATCATTGTCTCTGTCGTAGGTGCTGAAGAACATGCCATTGTGGATGGTCATGGTTCTGTTTTCTCCTACCAGTTGAGAAGCTCCATCCATGAGAGCATTGCCGGCTGTTCCTTTGTAGTTGCCCACTGAGATTCTGTATTTATTGGCCTCATTCTGCACGGTGAAGAGTCCATAATGCGCCTTCACCTTGTCTCCTTTCCAGTCCTCCATTTCAATCAAAAGTTCTGTGGCTCCCATCTCAGTAAGTTCATTGATCTTATCATTTCCAAGCCAATACTCACCTAAAGGAAAAACAGAACAAAATGTTACCAAATATCAAATATTTGGAAACAAACAAAAACCCTGCTTTTCTTATCTATCTTTTTCTTTTACATTTTTCTAATTAAACTCCTTTTAACTGCCTAAAACCTAAAAACAGACTCTAATCAATGCTCTTACAATGGAAAAAAAATCCCATTTGAAATACAATAATTTTATTTTCTCCTCCTAGTTTTTACCTGGTAGGCCACAGTATTTCTTTCCATCTGCATTGGTTGCAATATTCCCGAATCCTTTTTTATAGGGGTCCCATTTTCTGCCAAAGTCAACGCTACCATCCTGACGGTTCTGAATTACTGTCCATCCTATGGTTGATGGAAACAAAAATAGCATAAATTAGCCAATAACAAGTGATATCGCTTTGGAAAGAACATCTGAATCCATTGTCCATTCAATTTATCTTATGCCCACTTTAATTTAGTTCTCCAAAATGGACAGAATCATGAAAATAAATATGGGAGGAAACTCTTAAACTCTTTGGAAATGAAATATGCTTGATCTTATCCCAACTTGTAAATTACAGTTATTTTAAAACTTTTAAAATATCAGATTGAATTCCAAATCAAATTGCTCTTTGCCAGCTATGTCACAGCAAGGTCTTGTTTCCTGTCCGGTATTGGAAAGAACCACTGTCCAATACTTACCTCCATTTTCTGTGGTCATGTCACAGTATACTCTATATGGTTTGCTGGACCTGTCAGGCTTAATGAGATACATTTCAGATGTTTCACCACCTTTCCTGATGATTTCTTCACATTCTGCAAACATAAGATAACATCTTATGTTCAGGATCTATAACATCATTACTTGGTCAGTTCTTTATCAAAAATGATTATATAGGTTAGGGAGGACTGTTTTATTATAGACATTTGAGAATTGTTTTAATATTATAAAACACTGGATCTTTCTTTGAAAATCAAACTTAGTTTTGAAGAATTCTATCTGCTGAGTAAATTAAAAGGGCCCTCCCCTAAGCCCCTCTTGTGCCCAGGAGTATCCCTGGATTGAACACATGGGATGGGGAAGCTCCAATACCTGTCCTTGCCATCTGTTCACCCAAGTACATTCGTGGACTGTACATCAGATACCCTTGAAACTACCACCATCATTATATTCCACCCTGCTTATAGGAAATTGGCAAAATCATCAGGCCAAGGCATACCACAACATGCTAATGACATCTTCATGATGTGCTACAGTGACATTAGGCTCCACTGAGGAAAATGTACTGGATCCACTTTTTAATTCTTTTATTTTTAAAGAATGTGAATTCTTCTGGAATCTGATAGAAGTATGTTTGCTAACTACTTACCTTTGCCAGACACCACAGGGATATTGCAGCTGACAGTGCACGGGGCTTGGCAGTATTCCATCTGTGCTGAGACATCAGATTCTAATTTTTGTATTTTGCTTCTCAGGTCTTCCAGGATTGAGCGGAGCACACGAAGGTTAGTTGGGATGTTTTCATTCACGGTCTCATCTATATATAATCGTTGGTTTTCCAGTGCTGAAGAGTACTCATTAATGACATTTTCATTGTCTAGGAAAATGAAATTATATAGGGATGGTCAGCATTTGCCTCATTAAAAGCTAAGTATATTCAACTCTATAATTATGATTTTAGTTTGCTGAGAATAAGAGACATTGAGCTACTATCAAATAATCGTGATATATAGTTGTACTTAGGGAAAATTATTTTGTCAAGGCATAGACAAATTAGCAAAGCCATAGAACTTCAGCATTATCACCACTATGTGAGTAATTTACTATAGGTATAACTTAAAGATTATATCCAATAATGGATACAATATGTTGCTTATTTCTTTGTCGAAGAAAAGAGGAGAAAGCAGTATTTGGGCCTTCCATCTCAGAAGTTGAACATCTTCTAGAGCAAATGCATTTGATGTCTGTATACACCTTGCATAAGTACTATAGAACATCAAAAGTTAAAAGAGAGATGCTATGATTCCTTCAACTCATTTGAAAAGTGTACAAACTTAGGTATGTTACTGAGAAGCCAGGCTCATACTGTAGTTGATCCCTAAACACCAAGCCAGTACCCCTAAGCATTGAGATCGTAAGATTCACAGTTGAGACGTCCCTGTGCATGAGACAATGAAATATATCATGCATTTCTCTTTCACATTCAAAACCTCAAAATTCAATCTATATGTGCTAAATTTTCACTTTGTAAATTTTTATTCTTATTTTTTTGGTACTCAGGGGCACTCAACCACTGAGCCACATTCCCAGTCCTATTTTATATTTTATTTAGGGACAGGGTCTCACTTTGTAGCTTAGCATCTCACTGTTGCTGAGGCTGGGCTTTGAATTCACAACCCTCCTTCCTCAGCGCCCCCAGCAGCTGGGATTACAGGCTGGCAGCACTGGGACCGGCTCACTTTGTGAATCTTTATCTTCTGAGTCATCAACCAAATCTCTTATAGATGAACAATGAAAAATTATAGTAAAATTTTTCATAGATCACTCTTGTTGAAGTCACACTGGGAACAAAAACTTTGATCATGTTTATCTGGCGAACACAGGTGCAGATGCCTAAGCCAGGATCTTAATGTAATCAGATGCATACTGAAAGCAATAATGATGCTATTTAGACCAGTTTAGAAATGCTGATCTCATAATCATGCATTCTCACAGCTGATTTTATAACTGAGAATCAAATGGAAAACACAAGAATATCCACCTTTTACTTGTGCCTGCCTCTTTTTCCACATGTCTTTTAGCAAAGTCATGTACTGGAATGTGTTGGAGGAAGTCTGGGAAACAGACTCCACATTGTTGTTTAATTCTGCAATGCTGTTTTTGATTGGTTTTTCCTGGTTTAGCAGAGTATCTTGCAACTGACATCCTGTAGGACACAACACCCCCTACAAAGAAGAAAGCAGGCATTAGAGAAAGGATGTGGATTATGGATACTTGTTAAAATAGTGCATATAACAATCCAATTATCTCATTAGTCAATGTAACACTGTGTTATTTGACTTGCTCTATGGAAGACCAGAAATGTCAGAATTAGCATCATCATATATTTACATATTTTGAAAACTTAAAATAATCCTTACCACAGAAGAAATGTAATGAGGCTATGAAAATTTTATCAACTTAAACAAAAGAAGTAGGTGAAATTTAAAGCAAAGACAATACCCACATATCCTAACTTGTTATCCTAGGCCCAGACCAAAGAACACAAGAAAGGGAGACTACACCAAAGACCAAATTAGGTTTATGTTCCGAATTTTATTTGCAAAATAAATAAACAAAATAGCAATGCTGGTAATGTGGGTCAGTGAAAACCTAGACTTTCTCTGCATGGGAGACCCACCACTGCAAGAAATGTCAATGCTTACCAGGTCTGGGTCAGCATGAAGACAGCCTCCAGCATCTGGGGCTTTTCTTTCCACTTTTTTCTGACCGACAACTGGTTTGGCTGGACGAGCCTGATAGCCACCTCTACTTATGGGAGGTGGGGCAGGTTTCAGGCTGGGAGCCTGTTCCCTCCTCCGGTCAATGGGTCGATGACCACGAGCATCCACTACAGCCTGCAGAAAGCCAGACAGAAATAGAATGATGACTGTTAGAGAAACTATTCCAACACCCTCATTTTATAACTGAGGTTGTCACAAACCTGAAGATTTGCTTAAGGTCCATCCACTGGCTAGTTTGTGGTAGAAAATCAGAAGGTTACTTATGTCTCTTCAGAAAAGGATGAAAGAAGAATAGCATCTAAGACTACCATACCCAAGAGAGTTTTTAAAGAGAGCCTCTAAGAGAAAACTATATGAGATTATGAATAACCTTGACCTCAGGTTCTTGAAACCCAAACATTGGAACACACAAAATTCTCAGGAATCTATACAGTCAAAAGAATGAATATTCTTAAGCCCCTTCGATTACTAAATTCCTGTAATCATTATTTATCATTCCCCACTTTCAACTTTTACAAATTGATCATCAGTCTATCCTATAGGATCATATGTAACAGACAATAGAAGGTTTATTTAAAGTGAAATTTACTTAAATTTGATTTGTAATAAGACAAACTTTGACCCTAACATGTTGCAAGAGAAATAAGGTATTCTGGAGTCAGATTGCCTGGCTTTCAACTGTGACCCTACATTTACTATAAGACCCTGAGCAAGTTACTCTGTGTCCCCGTTTCCTCATCTGTAAAACAAGGATAACAGTAGTTTATATCTGTCTCATAAGATTACTGTAAGGATTTAATGACTTATGTATGACACACTCAGAATAGTACTAGGCCCATTGTAAATGCTCATTATAACTTGGAATATTATATATGTTGGAATCATACATAATAGATATTATAGTTTAAGTGGCTTCTTCACTCTTAATTCAACTTTCACTCTTATTTCCTATTAACAAAATTTTTTAAAATATAATTTTGAAATTTCCTATATGATCTCTATATGAAATACCAAGATTATCTCATATTTAAAATAATTCTTAAGATTTATATGTTGCAATAAAAATCATGTATTAACAAAAATATTGCATTAAATAAACTTGAATTGCAAAATATGCAGTGCAATATGAAGGTTTTTGGCTTGAATTAAATATATTATAATATACTCTTTGTCAGTAATTGTATTCATGGGGACTTAATTACTAATTAACAAATGACAAAAATTTGGAGAAGGACCTGAACTCTTTTGCAATTGTTTGAGTCTAAAAGTCACCAAATGAGCTGTGCTTAGAATTTTATTGTCATTTATTTGTAAGATAATTTTATTACTTAACATTTCCTGCTAGGATTAAAACCTAGGAAGTTTGGCTCCAGAGTCCCCTGCTCAATCACATATATCCTTAATGAAAAAGATTTGGAGGAAATATCAAAGGCAAGGTCCCAAGGAGAGCTTGTCTGCTCCAACACAAATTTAATTCACCTGTTTATTATAAATAAAATTATAAATGAGACTGTTTTCTTTTTTGTTTTAGAGTGCTAGTCGAGAAGCAATTTTACTAGAGAAAAAAATGTAAAAAATATTTAACAGATTTTAAGTCTATGAAGACCACTTATCAAAATAACCAAAACTAGAAAATCTGCTTTGGAACATAAACTATTAAACTATTTCTATGAAGATTAGTTACTGAGTAAGAATGTGAAAGTACCTTGCAAAGTGCTTCAAAAAACTTAGTCTCACAACTTCTTTCCATTTTTCTCACCAAATGTGATTGACCAAGTTATCTTTTTATTTGAAGAGTGTGATGATTAGAACATTAAAGTTCTCTCCAAATTCAATAAAAGAGCCAAATGAATCAAAGTCTTATTGTATATTCTTATTTCTAGTGTGTTGATACTTTATCATACACAAGAAATTTTATCATGATACATTTGATAATAAAATTACAATTCCTTAAATATTTCTTTTTTCTAAATGCATTTCTATGTTTTTGATAATAACAAACTAATAGCAGTAAGTTGGCAAAGATAACACTTGAGGACAAAACTGTTCGACAAAATAAAAAGTTAGACTTCATAGCCATCAATAATAACAATAAACACCACCTCTGATTTAAATTTTCTCATCTGAAAAACGTTTCATTTAAACTTAAATTATAATTCATATTCATAATTAGTCAGTAATCTCAAGAGCTATATATTGCTCTCCTCACCAAAAAGCCACCTATCTACCACAGCTTTTTCTTTTAAAACTCTCCTCTTTTGCTGTCTTTTAGCCCTTACAATTTTTAGATTCTATACTTATAATTGTAATAATGTATTGCTTGAACTAAGGGAAAATCATAGCATTCAGGATAACAAAAAGTGAAAAAAAATACATCTTACGTTAGCCAAGCCATCTTCATCCTTGGAAAATATAAGTAATAAACCAAAAAAAAAATCAAATTATTTTGCTTTCTCAAATGAATCATCACGAAGTAGCTTTAGGTAAATTAGATCCTAGAGATTAACAATTCAGTTTCAAACTATAATCAACACTAATTTCATTTAAGTAACTATTCATTAGTATGATTGTATTGTATTTTATATTAATAAGATTAGTAATAGTAGAATAATATAAAAATCACCTCATGATCTTCGTCATAATCTTCAGATTTAACTGAGAAAACACACAACAGAAGCAATAACAGATGTTTCATGGTTTCAAATTTTTGAAAGTTCCAAGAAATCATCTTCTGCCTGAAGACCAGAGAGAACTTCAACTATATATACTTGGGTCCTCTGTTAGGCATGATTTCAGAAATGGTTACCTTCCCTTAGTAAATATTTAATTTTTTGGTTCCCTTGTTGGCTGAACCATTTTATCACTTAAGCAATATCTTCCCAGCAAGACTTATTTACTTGTGATACAACTCTTCTCTGCTGTTGGTTTAATTTAGAAACACTAATCTCCTCAACTCATTTAACCAGAAAAATGATGGAAATTTAGAACATTCCTGGAAGAGATGTATCACATTTCTCATAAATTAATGCCACACAAGTTCACAAAGAATGTGCAGGGAAAAAAATTTAATAGAATCACAAAGTTTGAGCCACTCGGAAAGCAATCACTAAGATTAGGAACCCACTAAAGATACACCATATGTGCTAGGTTTTGAGGCAAACATATAATTCGATTTTACAAGAGGCCATTAAAACCAAGAGTAATTTATGTCATCATGTGTTTATCCTTTCTTTAGACATTAATCAGAATTAAAAAAATAACAATTCATGTCTTTGATAGACAAACACCGGAAAGAAAATGTCCAGATCTTTTTTTAACCCTGACTAGTTTTTATACTTTGTCTTTTATTAATGTAAATTAAAACTTACAACAAATTCTAATCATTATTAAAATAACTAATAGTTTATAGATTCTCAAATCAAAATTGACATTATAGTGACCGGATACATAGTTAACATTTCATATAATCCATAATAATCAATTTTCATATTTTATTTTCTATCAGATTGCTTATTAAAAACAATGTCATTGTAACATTGGGAAGCCTTCATAACAGTAATGACTTTGTACTTCTCTTTCAGTTTGTTCCCACACTTAATTTTCCTTCATCATTTCTCATAAGTCACAAGATCCATCTTTCTTATCTGTTCATTTGTTTATTGCAATTGAGACTAAGAACTCCTACAAGAATCAAAAGGAAATCCCATCAGGTGCACTATTTTAAAGTATTTCCTGTTTTGTTTTGTTCTGTTTGTATGAAAAATAAAATATTCTTATTAAGTTTGCAAAATGTTTTTATTAAGAAGATGATAAGTTATCTGAGTTTGGATTGGGGAAGTTTTAAACAGTGCTTTGAAATACAATCTTGGTAATAGTGTGAAACAGTGAATTTCTTTTTTCTCTTGATAGTATAGATTACATTCCCAAATTCTTTTAACTCAGATATATAGAAACAGAATATTGAATTTAATTGAAGAAATATATTTGATTGCATTTTTTCAAATTTGTGCCCCAATTATTAGTCATGAATGAACATTTTTCTTTACAATTATATTCTTTAGAATATACAGAATATATATATATATATATATATATATATATATATCCCTACACAAGATGACAGAAAAATTAACTCTATCAATTAAAATAAGATACAAGAATATTTTCCTTCCAAACATAACTGAGAAAATTTTAAAAATCTGGATAGATTTTATTTTGTGATGTATAGGTTCTTGCTGATTTTTAAAAGAACTATTTGTTAAGAAGATTCAAACAATTTTTGAGGCGATGTATTATTATATTTCCAGTCCACAAGTTGATAAATATTAATTTTCAGAAACTGGTTCATTTTGTTAGTTTCTTCTAGCATATAGTAGACTCTTGTTCAAAGTTACAGTGAAAGTTCCTTACCACCTAGCTCTGCTGCAGCCGGCCTTCTTACCACTGGCAGAAGGAAAATGGAAGAAAACTAAAGGAATTATCTTAAGAACAGAGAGACTTATGTTCATTCTATATGAGTAGTACCTAAGAACCTCCTAAGTGACAGGTGGTCTGGTGAGGTCTGGGGATACATTGGTGAGCAAGACAGACATAGCAGACATTCTATAAATAAAGATAGAATGAGTGAGTAAACTGGCCTTCGTTGATTCATTCCTCAGATGCCAACAACGATATTCATTTATCTTATTTAATTTTGAAACTACTGAGCTCAACAAATAATGAAACTGAGGTTCAGAGTGCTTAAACTACCTAAGAGCACACATAAAGTGCTAGTACCAGGACTTGACCCACTCTGTCTAACCCAACCTCTATGCTCTGTGCCTATTATGCCAATATTGCCCAATGGAATGTAAACATTATACAAAATTAACCTGTACTTTCTTTTTTTGTTTGTTGCTGTTGTTTGGGGTAGATATTACAGTACTTCAGATGGGCACACACACTCTTAACCCTTACTTTCACATATATTTTCACCCTAATCTATGGGTAGGTATGAATATTCCTGTCTGTGTGAGAGACATGGGCAGTTATGTTGGTGATGAGTTTCTTTAATTATAGTTCTTGTAGAATTTTTCTGTACTAACACTCTAACTTGCTTAATATTATAAAGTAAATTAGGATGTTTTCAAAGAGAAGAAACATATTTGCAGAGATCCCACTTAATAAAATGTTTACATTTTTCACAAAGTTGATGCCATTGGTGGAGGATAAAGGGAGTACTGTTTGTTCAGTTATGTTTTGAGGTCAATGTTGCATTGCTCGTCCTATTAGCTGATGTTGTTACCTAAGTCCAGGGCAGTAAATCAGTGACAGAGAAAACAGAGATAATCTGTCCTGCCAGCAGCTCTCTGGCATGAAAGGCAAAGACTTGCAGGCACTGATCGTCAATGCAATTGCTGCTGTTACTTTTATGATTCATGTCAGGCCTAATCTACATACAGCAAGGAGATTTGTGTTTAGTAGCTATTTACAGAGCATCTGCTTTGTAGCAGGTAGTTTGATAGGAGCAGGGACACTTAGGTGAACAAGACAGACAAGGGCCCTGGGCTTATGAAGCTCTATGTCTAGTGGGAAAGAGAAAATGGACATTACCTACAGTAACTTGGGCTGAGTAGGAAAGCAGGGCTTTGGCAACAGTGACTTAAGAACCCAGTATTATTTTGGCAGGGGGAAAGGACTTGAAAGGAAAAGGACACTTGTGGACTAGAAACTCATAGTTTGAATCATTGTATGTTTTATCCATGCACCTGGCACCTAGGAAGTATTTCAGATATATCTTTTGAGCAAGTTTATGAATATATAAATGAACAAATGAATAAAATGAAATATTGATCTTCTTTATCTAAATAAGTATAGTTTTGGAGATTTTAAACTAAATCATTCTTAGTCTTCAATCATGTTTTCCTTGAGCTACAGTTTGAGAATCACAATCCAAAGGGAAGAGTTGGAGGTCAGGCTGGACTAGAGGTTTTTTTTTTTTTTTAGTTCTTCTTTGGTTCTCTTTAGTTATACATGATTTGAAATCCATTTTGATATAATTATACAAGCAGGGAATATATATTATTCTAACTAGGACCCCATTCTTGTGGACCTACATGATGGTGGGATTCACTGTGATGTACATATGCAAATTATGTAAGATTCATCTCACTGTGTTTCCTTTTCCTATCCTCCCTCTTTTCCCTCTCTTCTTCATTGTCTAATCTCCTGAACTTCTATTTTTGTTGTACAAGCCCAAGACCAGGTGGCAGCGACACCTGAAGTTGGTTAGCCATCCTCTATGGGAAAGCAGGTGACAGGGAAGAAAAGGAGAAGGCAGCTCTCTCTTCTGGAGGGTCTTCCACTATTAACTTAGAAGATGTCAGCCTGCTCTATGTACAGGAGTCAACATGAAAGGGATGATGGAGTATTTTCTTCTTTCATCAGGTGCAGATTCTAAGAGCTAGAAAAAAAGACAAATTGATCTTCTAGTTTCGTCACATTGAGACCAAAAAAAAAAAAAAGGGGGGTGTAGTGACCACCTCCCTTCTCCTGGAATGACCCCTAACACTCAAGAGTGCAGCTACAATGGTCCTGCTGGTAGTATGATGCCCTGACTTCTGAACACAGGTGACCACGCTAGGGGTAGACATACTCTTTATGCAAGCAAGCTCTATCAAATCCACTCCCCTGATTTGAGATTTGCAAAGGAAGTTTCAGACAACTGGGTGAGGTGGCCTGAAGTCATACACGTTTCTAGAGAGAAAGTCCACAAGCTGCACTAGCAGACCTACCAAAACTTGCAAACTTACTGGTTAAATTTTTCTGTCAAATCTGAGAGACCCTTGATGGCCTTTCAATAGCACCTATTGCACTTTACCTTTCAATAACTTAGGCTGAGATGGTTTCTGGAACCCAAACAAATCTGAAAAAAAATTAAATTAAGTATTTTGGAATTGGGCTGGCTGCCTTATTTTTAGGCAGAAAGTGTACTTTGGAGAAAAAAGCTATATTTTCCAATAATGCAACATATCACTAAATTTTTTTACATATTAAGTATATGGTACCAGCAATAAAACTCTGGAGGGAAATGAAAGATTTAATTTTATTTTTGAGCGCTTCAGTAACATTCATATTAAAAATTTTTCACCATTTGATAGCTATTTTTTCAATTAAATTAGCAATATTTTCTGTAAAATAGGCTCAAGATTCATCAAAGATTTAATGAAATTTTTATAAAAAGTTATAGCTTGATGAGAAAACATGGAGCTGTATAGATGAAAATGGACAAACAGAAAGGAAACAAACACCTATTTAGAAAAATATTAAACCTACAACTCGGATCACAAGAGGATCCATCACAAGTTCAAGGCTAGCCTCAGCAACTCAGGGAGGTCTTAAGCAACTTAGCAAGACCCTATAACAAAATAAAAAATAAAAAGGTCTGGGATGTGGTTCAGTGGTTAAACACCCCTGAATTCAATTCTCAGTTCAAAAAAAAAAAAAATTGAACCCAGATATGAATCCAAGAAAACCAGAAAGGTTAACATGGAAACTGTATTAGAGAAGGGGGCAAAGAGCATAAAAAAATTTCCACCGTGTCTACAGAAGTAAGGGAGATGGTACATGGGTCAACGAATAAGATAAGCGGGGGAAAGAGGCTTAACAAGGGGGATAAACACTGCAGAGTACAAGATTTAGAATCCTCCGTCAATTCCCTGTGATTTCTTCAATATTCCAATTTATTTTGCTAAGAGTTTGTGGACCAGGTTTTC